CCCCCTCCCCTCCCCCATTTCTGAAGAAGGGTCTAGGCCCGAAACGTCAGCCTTCCTGCTCCTCTGATGCTGCTTGGCCTGCTGTGTTCTTCCAGCTCTACACCTTGTTATCTCAGATTCTCCAGCATCTGCAGTTCCTACTATCTCAGCTAGATAGGCTGGGACTTTTTTCCCTGTAGCATTAGAGGCTGAGGGGTGACTTTATTGAGGTTTGTACAGTCACTAGGGGCGTAGATAAGGTGAACGGCCAAGGTTTTTATCCGCAGGGTGGGGGGAGTCCAACACTGGGGGATATAGATTGAGGGTGAGATGGGAAAGATTTAAAAGGGACCTGAGGGGCAACATTTTCTCACTGAGGGTGGTAGGTGTACGGAACAAGCTGCCAGAGGAAGCGGAAGAGGGGGGTACAGTTACAACAGTTAAAAGATATTTGGGTAGGTACAAGGTTTAGAGGGTTATGGACCAAATGTGGCAAATGAGACTGGTTTAGTTTGTGAAACCTGGTGGGCAAGCACGAGTCGGGCCGAAGGGCCTGTTTCTGCGCTGCATGACTCTATGGCTCTAAAGAGCCTCATCAGCACATGCACTGAACCTGAAACATTAGTTCCCACTGTCTATCTCGATTTGCCGCAAGTAAGAGTCTTCTTGTAAAGAGGAAGCTCACAGCGCAAATGGAACCCAGTCTTTTAACCCCAACGCACATCTTTCTACATTGTCATGATCAACACGATTCAGTTTTTCCTTTGCTTATTGCGATTACTATTTGGATCCTGGGACAGGTTTATCCGAAGAGGTTTACCCAAGGTATTTGGGTTTCTGTGGCAACGTATAATTTACCTGCCTGTACTCACCTGGAGCCATGGATAGAAATGGTAGAGGCTCTAATGTTTATCCATCCCAATTGCTAACCAGGAATCTCCCCCACTCTTACCACTCACTATCAGTGCGGGTTGGAAACAGTTACAGGTTTAGTCACGTTATGAAGGCACCTTCCATGCCTGACATGGGATTGAATTAGATGATTCTGGCCCAGGGTCAGCGATGGCACTCACTGACCTATGTTGCCTCACACGGCTCATTTCCCTTTAGGAAAGACAACTTCAGAAGTGTTTGTTTCAGAAGACAGTCTCACCCTCCCAGTGCTGTCATTGGAAATAACACCCCCTGTTCCAGCAGGTCAAACTCAATGACTATCGAGTGAAGACCTTACAATAAGTAGCAGCTATTCCGAAAATGCCTGGGGATCCCAGCATCGTCTTCCAAACCCGGCACAGCTGCTCAGAGGAGGACAGACATGTCACTGTCTTACAGATATGGCACTGAGGGGCACAGGAGACAGCTTCGTGCCACTCATTGTTGCTGAGAATTGAATATTTAGGCCGGAAGCAAATCAAATCACCAAAATCAGAGAGAGAGAGAGAGAGCGATAGAGACAGAGAGAGAGAGAGACAGAGAAAGAGACAGAGAGAGACAGAGAGAGAGAGACAGAGAGACAGAGAGAGAGAGAGAGAGACAGACAGACAGACAGAGAGACAGAGAGAGAGAGTCAGAGAGAGACTGAGAGAGAGAGAGAGAGGGGGAAAGAGAGAGATAGACAGACAGAGAGGGAGTCAGAGACAGAGACAGAGAGAGAGAGAGGTTACTAGCAGAGGTCAAGTCTTCACCAGCCCTGACTGATTCTCTTAATTTCATTTATTTATTCATTGGATGTGGGTGTCACTGTCTGGGCCCAGCATTTATTGCCCATCCCTAGTTGCCATGTGAGAAGGTGATGATGAGCTTCCTTCTTGAACCACTGCAGTCCACCTCCTAGGTTGACACACAATGCCCTTAGGGAGGGAATTCCAAGATTTTGACCCAGCGACAGTGAAGGAACGACGATATATTTCCAAGTCGGGATGGTGAGTGGCTTGGAGGGGAACTTGCATGCTGTCCTCATGAATTGTCCTTCTAGATGGAAGTGGTTGTGGGTTTGGAAGGTGCTGTCTGAGGATCTTTGGTGAATTTCTGCAGTGCATCTTGTAGATAGTACACACTGCTGTGACTGAGCGTCGGTGGTGGAGGGAGTGGATGCTTGAGGATGTGGTGCCAATCAAGGGGGATGCTTTGTCCTGGATGGTGTCAAGATTCTTGGGTGTTGTTGGGGCTGCACCCATCCAGGCAAGTGGGGAATATTCCCTCACACTCCTGACTTGTGCCTTGTAGATGGCGGACAGGATTTGGGGAGTTACTCACTGCAGTAATTCTAGTCTCTGATCCATAGTTGTAGTCACATTATTTTCACAGCCGATTCAGTGAAATTGTCATTCAATGAAGTTGATGGTGGAAGATTTGATGATAGCAATGCCATTGAGTGTCAAGAGGAGGTGGTTAAATTATGTGTCTTCTTGGAGTTGGTCGTTGCCTCGTCCTCGTGTGGTTTAAATGCTACCTACTGCCTATCAACCCATGCCTGAATATTCTTTACATCTTGCTGCATTTGGACGTGGACTGCTTCAGTATTTGAGAATTCGTGAATGGTGCTGAACATTGTGCAATCATCGGCGAACATCCCCACTTCTGACCTTATGACGGAGGGAAGGTCATTGATGAAGCAGCTGAAGATTGTTGGGCCTAGGACACTACCCTGAGGGACTCTTGCAGAGATGTCCTGAAGCTGAGATGACTGACCTCCCACAACCACGACCACCTTCCTTTGTGACTCCAACCATTGAAGAACATTCCCATGATTCTCATTCACTTAAATTTTGCTCGGGCTCCTTGATGCTACTTTCCATCAGATGCTTCCTTCATATCAAAGACAGTCCGTTCCACCTTACTGATGGAATTCAGCTCTTTTGTCCAACTTTAGACCATGGCTGTAATGAAATCAGGAGCCCAGTGGCTCTGATAGTTATTAATGATGAAATTCATATTGTTGAGTGATTTGCTAGATTGTCAATGTTGTACCTGGACTGGACCGGCTCATCTAAAGGAACGACGAATTCGGCATTGCACTTGGATACAGTCAGGCATGATGGTCATTGCTGTGTTAACGTGAGGTCCAATGAATTTACTGAAGACTGATTGTGGATACCTAAGGAGAAGGCTGAGATGGATCATCCCTTCCGAGCCACTCACTATCCTGAGTTGGAAATATATCGTCGTTCTTTCACTGTCGCTGGGTCAAAATCCTGGAATTCCCTCCCTAATAGCATTGTGGGACAACCCACAGCAGGAGGACTGCAGCAGTTCAAGAAGGTAGCTCACCACCAACTTCTCAAGGGCAACTAGGGATAGGCAATAAATGCTGGGCCCAGCCAATGACGCCCACATCCTGTGACAGGGTGAAAAAAAAACAATCAGCACTTCTGTTGCAAAGAAAAATGAAGGCTCCCCTATCATTGAAATGGGAATATTTGTGGAGCCTCATCCTTAGATTAGCCATTGAATTGTCCACTACCGTTCAAAACTGGATGTAGAAGGATGACAGAGCTTTGATCTGCAGGGACGGTATAGATTTCTCTTGTCTGGTGGGAGTAAGGGGAGTTATCATTCTTGAAACTGTCTTTCAGGATCGAACTGGGATTGGCTGAGGTGAATAGAATGAAACCACAGGTTGTTCACCTTGGTGGAACCTCCAGGTAGAAGTTGCCCATGGCTCTGTGACTTTCCCAGCACTGGTCCAAAACTGTTCTGGAAGATGAGTTTGAGAAATTTGTTCTTAGAGGTTTGCACAACCTGGATGATGTTGGAGCTCAGCTGATCTCTGTTCTTCTCCAGGAAGTCTGTCAATTAGAAAGAGACATGGATCTTCTCAGATGCTGGGTCTAACACACCCTGCAGACACAATGGTTAGATAAATGCTAAGTCTGAGCACATTCCAGTGCACAAGGGGAGTAGATGTTAAATATAAATGAAAGTTAAACAATGTGCTAAGGCCTCCATTTAATTGCTTCAACATGAGTCTGGGAAATGTTGTTGAAACTTCAGGCTGCCAAAGTTTGTACTCATTTCATATCCCATGGGCTGACCACAAGACCTTTTACCTTGCCTTCTAATCACACCCGTCCCCACAACTTCAAGGATCCCTACCTTTCTCCAGGCCAGCTAGATCCTCTATCATAGTTTCCTCCTATTGCCACAGCTAAAGCCAAACTTCAATTTCCAAGAAGCTGTAATTCAGATACGGGTTTCAAATATATCTGGAGTTCACGTCAGCCCACACTCTCCAGCAAGGGAACTCATAGGCCCATCCAAACTTTCAATACCTGAAGTTCAGGTAGGCCCAGGCTTTCAGTACATGGGGTTCAGGTAGGCCCGCACTTTCAATACCTAGAGCTCAGGTAGGCCCAGGCTTTCAGTACATGGGATTCAGGTAGGCCCGCACTTTCAATACCTAGAGCTCAGGTAGGCCCAGGCTTTCAGTACACGGAGCTCAGGTAGGCCCAGGCTTTCAATACCTAGAGCTCAGGTAGGCCCAGGCTTTCAGTACATGGAGCTCAGGTAGGCTCAGGCTTTCAATACCTAGAGATCAGGTAGGCCAGACCTCCAGCACTATGGCTCCATCCTAGGGTTCAGAGCCTGGGCAGATCTGTGGGAGTAAGTAAACAGACACCAAAAGGGGAGGTATGGAGTTAAGACCTTCAACAGTGGTGGAAAAATTAAGTAGGGGATGGCGGTGTTACTGTGCATGTGGACTGTCAGATAAAGGTTAGTCTATGCAAACTTCAGCCACTCAGGAGAGTGAGATATTTATAGAGTCATAGAGTCATAGAGCCATACAGCACGGAAACAGACCCTTCAGTCCAACCAGTCCATACCGAACATAATCCCAACCTAAACTAGTCCCACCTGCCTGCTCCTGGCCCATATCCCTCTAAATATTTCCTATTCATATATCCATCCAAATGCCTTTTAAACGTTGTAATTGTACCCAAATCCACCACTTCATCAGAAAGTTCATTTCATACATGAACCACCCTCCATGTAAAAATTTTGCCTCTTGTGTCCTTTTTTAAATCTCTCTCCTCTGATCTTAAAAAATGTGCCCCCAGTCTTCAAATTCCCCATCTTAGGGAAAAGACAACTACCATGAATTCTATCTATATCTCTCATGATTTTATAAACTTCTATCAGGTCAGTTCTCAATCTCCTATGCTCTGGTGAAAAAAGTCTCAGCCTATCCAGCCGTTCTTTATAACTCAAACCTTCCATACCCTGCAACATCCTGGTAAATCTATTCTCAATCCTCTCCAGTTTAATAATATCCTTCCCATAACTGGGCAACCAGAACTGGACATAGTATTCCAGAAGAGGCCACACCAATCTTCTGTACAATCTCAACATAACGTCCCAACTCCTATACTCAAAGGACTGAGCAATGAAGGCAAGTGTGCCAAATGCCTTTTTAACCATCCTGTCTATATGTGATGCAAACTTCAAAGAATTATGTACCTGCACCCCTAGGTCCCTCTGTTCTACAACACTACCCAAGGCCCTACCATTAATTGTATAAACCCTACCCTTGTTTGTTGTACCGAAATGCATTTATCCAGACTGAACTCCATCTGCCATCTTTCAGCTCATGGACCTATTTGATCAAGACCCCTTTGTAATCTTAGAAAACCTTCTTCATTGTCTACAATGCCACCAATTTTGGTGTCATCCACAAACTTACTAGCCATGCCTCTATATTCTCATCCAAATCATTTATATGAATGACAAACAAAAGAGCACCCAGAACCGATCCCTGTGGAACACCGCTGGTCACAGGCCTCCAGTCCGAAAAGCAACCCTCCACATTACTCTCTGTCTCCTGCCATTAAGCTAATTATGTATCCAATTGGCAAGCTCACCCTGAATCCCAAGTGACCTAACTGTACCAATTAGTCTATGTGTAACCTTGTCAAAGGCTTCATTAAAATCCAAATACACAATGTCTACTGCTCTGCCATCATCAACCTTTTTGGTAACTTCCTCAAAAACTCAATCAAATTCATGAAACACGATTTTCCTCACACAAAACCATGCTGACTACCCCAATCAATTTTTGCCTCTCTAAATGTCCATAAATCTTATCTTTTATAATCACCTCCAACAATTTACCCACTAGTGAAGTCAGACTCACTGGTCTATAGTTCCCCGGTTTCTCCTTACAACCTTTCTTAAACAAAAGTATAACATTGCCATCTTCCAGTCATCAGGCACCTCACCCATAGTTATAGATGATGCAAATATTTCTGCAAGGGGTCTCGTAATTTCTTCCCTTACTTCTCACAGCATTATGAGATACATTAGATCAGGTTTCAGAGATTTATCCACCTTTATATTCTCTAAACGGTTTTTAAAACATCAAAGTTTATTTCTTTGATAACACAGTGTAGAGCTGGATGAACACAACAGGCCAGGCAGCATCAGAGGAGCAGGAAACTGATGTTTCGGGTCGGGACCCTTCTTCAGAAAAGAATCTGAAGAAGGGTCCCGACCCAAAATAGCAGCTTTCCTGCTCCTCTGATGCTGCCGGGCCTGCTGTGTTCCTCCAGCTCCACACTGTGTTATCTCAGACTCCAGCATCAGCAGTTCCTACTATCTCAAAGTTTATTTCCCTGCATTCTCTAGACTCCACTTCTTTCTCCACAGTAAAAACTGATACGAAATATTCATTTAGTATCTCTCCCATCTCCTGGGGTTCAACACAAAGACGACCTCCTTGGTCTTTAAGAGACCCTACCCTCTCTCTAGTTACATTCTTACTATTAATGTATTTGTAGAATTGCTTTGGATTACCCTTAACCTTATCTGTCAATGTTATCTCTTATCCCCTCTTTGCCTTCCTGATTTATCTCCTAAGAATGCTTCTACACTCTTTATATTGATTGAGAGGTTCAATTCAACCAAGTTGCCTAAAATAATCTGAAATAAGATTCTCTTTTGCTCTTGACTAGATCCTCAATGTCTTTATTCATCCATTGTTCCTTAATCTTACCAGCCTTACCCTTCACTCTAACAGGAACATAACGCCTCTGAACTTTCGTCATCACACTCTTGAACACCTCCCACATGTCAGACATCGTTTCACCTGCGAACAGTCTACTCCAATCAACTTTTGAAAGTTCTTGTCTGATACCATTAAAATTTGCCTTACTCCAATTAAAAAGTTTATCTTTTACGGAAGGCTTATTTTTTTCCATAACTATTTTGAAACTAATAGAATTATGATCACTAGACTCAAAATGATTCCCCACTTCTACTTCAGTCACCTGCCCTGCCTTATTGCCCAAAAGATGGTCTAGTTTTGCTCCCTCTCTAGTAGGACCATCCACATATTGATAAAGAAAATTTACTTGAGCACATTTGACAAATTCTTCACCATCCAAACCTTTAACACTATGGTAGTCCCAGTCAATGTTTGGAAAATTAAAATCGCCCCTTATTACAACCTTATTATCTTACATTATATCTGAGATCTCCCTACATATTTGTTTCTTAATCTGTCTTTTACTATTAAGGGGCCTATAGTAGAATCCCACCAAAGTGATCTTTCTTTTCTTATTGGTAATTCCTACCCATATATTTTCACTGGATGATTTTTTAGAAATATCTTCCCTAGTTACAACAATAATGTATTCCTTAGTCAAAAATGCCACCTCCCCTCCTTTCTTACCTCCTTTTCTATCCTTCCAATAGCATCTAAAACCTGGAACATTGAGCTGCCAGTCTTGTTCATCTCTCAGCCAAGTTTCTGTAATAGCTATGACATCCCAATTCCACGTTCTTAAACATGCCCTGAGTTCATCAGCCTTACCTGTAAGACCCCTTGCACAGAAATAAATGCAATTTAGTTCTTCAGAGTTAGTACATCCTCTGACTCTCTCTGGTCTTTCTTTTCTAATTGACGTCCTCTCCTCACATTCAGAACCTTCCCCATCAATCCTTCCATTTATAGTCCTGCTTACAATTCCTCCACTCGCCTTCTCTATCAGTATGAAGTCTCCCTTAATAGAATGAGCAAGTCTCCCTGCTAAGATATTGGTCCCTTTCCAGTTCAGGTTAGACCCATCCTTTTGAACAGATCCTTTCTATCCCAGAAGTTACTTTAATTGTCCAAGAACCTGAATCCCTGAACAATACACCAGCTCTTCAGTCACTGATTTATCTCCTTTAACCTTTTGTTCCTTCCCTCGTTTGAGTTTGGCATTGGGAGTAAACCAGAAATTACTACTTTTAAGGTTTTATTTTTTAATCTTCTGCCTAACCTCTTAAATTCACTCTGTACTGCTTTAATCTTTACCTTAAAAATGTCATTCCTACCAATGTGTACAATAATTTCTGGCTTCTCAATCTCACCTTTAACAACATGTTTGAAACGTTTAGAAATGTCCCTAATCCTAGCACCAGGAAAGCAACAATCCATCCTAAATTTACACTCACTGCCACAGAATTGCCTCTCTATGCCCTGACAGAAGAGTCCCCTATAACAATAATCCTATTAAATATTGTCAAAAACTGCCTAACATAAGAATCGTTCCAAGTCTCCAATAACTGACTGGCGCTTCCATTTTCCTCAGAAACACTATCCCCTTCAACTGTTCCAAAAACTGAATATTTCTCGATTTGTCCTGTAGCAAGATCTTACCTAGTTAAAACTCAGGTCAAGTCGTTTTCTTTATTAACAGGATGAGGGTGTTGCTGGCCAGGCAGCATTTATTGCCCATCCCTAATTGCCCAGAGGGCAGTTTAGAATCAACCACATTGCTGTGGGTTTGGAGTCACATGTAGGCCCGACCAGGTAAGGATGGCAGCTTCCTTCCCTAAAGGACACTAGTGAACCAGGTGGGTTTTTCCCATCAATCAACAACAGATTCATAGTCACCATTAGATTCTTAATTTGATATATCTTATTGAATTCAACTTCCGCCATCTGCCAAGGTGGGATTTGAGCCCAGGTCTCCAGAAATATTATCCGGGTTAACAGCCCAACGATAATACCAGTAGGTCATCACCTCGCTCGGCCATCTTCTTCGTGGGCTTCAATTGTTCCACTTTTCTCAAATGAATGAATGAATGATTTCATTGTCATGCGTATTTTACAGAGAAAAATACATAAAATACAGTCACATCTTTAGGTAGATTCCTAACTGGCTGAAACTTTCATTGAATAACCTGTATCTGACAGTCTACATACACACTAACACCACTCCCCCCCCGCCCCCAACTTACTTTTTCCACGTAGTTTAAGGTCTTAACTCCACACTTCCCTTTAGGTGCATCTTTATGTACTCCCAGAGATCCGTCCAGGCCTGTTCCCGATCCCTGGGATAAAGTCATGCCTGGGAGATCAGATCCAACAGCACTGACTAGGTGCAGGAACTGGAGAAACACTCGTTCTCAGGGACACTGTCGATGCTGGTGAGGCCCATTCCTGGTTGCTCTGAGAAAGCGGTGATGGGTCTTCTCTTTCAGTGACTGTTGGATCACCTCAGAGTTCACCGCTCAGCGTCAGGTAGGGAGACACATGTAGGCCAGGCTGTGTAAGGATGGCAGGATCCTTTTGCTGATGCACATCCAATGCACCCAGTTGGGTTCGTACAATAGCTTAGCTCCTTTTACTGGCACCACCCCAAAAGTTAGTGAGTTTAGTGTTACAGCTCATCAAGGCAGGATTTGAACTCATGGGAGCTGGGTTGTTTGGCTCCTGTTTTTCAGTCTTTACATGACTTTTGAAAAGAATACTCTGGATGTTGGCATCACTAGCAAGGCTGGCATTTATTGTCCACTCATCAGGAAGTTCTAGAGTGACTTGTTAGGCCTTTCGAGGGGTGCGTCAGACGGGTGAGGGAGGGGAGTTATATACAGACCAGTCGGGTAAGGATGGCAGGATTGCTTCCTCGAACTAATTTAATGAAGCAGTCGGCATCTTACTTTCAAACCAGTTGGCACCCGGAGCGAGAGAAAGATTTCACCACCGACAACTTTCACCACCCTGCATTGACAGAGGGTCGATGCCAGTTTCTGCTCAGTGGGGATGAATGTGGACAGTACCTTTCACCTCATAATGAACCACTCCTGCAAAGTGAGCGATGCCAAACAAAGTCCCATGAGAGCTCATCGGAGGGATGTAGACCATACTCCTGCTGTGGTGATTATTCAGCTTGGTTAACAACGTCGTGTCAGTGCCCTGCAGAAAGGAGGCAAAAAAAAAAGACTTGAATCCGTGGAACCAACTTTCAAGACCTCAATATACCCCAAAGCCCTTTACAGTCCTTTCCTGAAACACAGTCTCTGTTGTAACACAGGAAACGCAGCAGCAGAGCAAGGTCCCATATCAGCAATCTGATAATGATCAGACCACCAGTTATTTAAGGATATCCGTTTAATGATGAGTATTGCTGACAACACAGGAGTCACTCCCTTGCTTTTACAGAATGATGGGATGAGACAGCAGGGAAGGAGGTTGTTCAGTCCATCGAGACTGTGTTGCTTTTCCCAAAGAGCATCCCAGCCAGCCGCACTCACCTGCTCTCCACCCACATCCCAAAAAATCAGGCATTTATGCAATTCTATCCTGGAGATAATTATTCTGTCAGTATGGACCGCCCTGTCAGATATCCTCACCCTGTCAGATTACAAAAGGTTCTCTTTTATCAGCTGGTTTGATGAGTTTAAATTCATTCCAGACTGGCCAAGGAGACAAAGTCAAGGATTGTCCTCAGACTTAGACTTCAAAGTTACATTCTTTATGATCCATGAGTACTAAAGACTGTAATGCATGGTCATCATGGACACTCCAGCCTCTGATGGATAGTGACATTTCGTAAGCGCTGATCCACCTTCTTTATCTTTTCATGTCCATGTTTTAGCCTGTTCTGGTGCAGACTTCCAGAGTCTTCCATTTCCACCCACGCTGTTCTACTTATGGTCAGTAATGTGCAGTGCTGTAACATCATCACAAGCTTGCTCCAGGGCCCAAATGCCTCTGTACATCATCTTTCCCTCATCTTGGTTCCTTTGTCAATCACCTTAAATCTGGACCATTTCATGATTGCCCCCTCAGCCACTGGAAATATTTCTCTTTATTTAGGCTAGCTGTGCCCTATTCAACTCGCTCTTAGCCTTCGTTTCTCTAAGAAGGACAACCTCAGCTTTTTCGGTCTGTCGTGAGAATAGTAATCCTTCATCCCTAGAACCATTCTGGTAAATCTCTTCTGCACTCTTCCCCAAATCTCCTTTTGCAGCTTTCCTGCTGTCTGATTCCTACAATTGGACACAATATTCTGTTTGCGGCCTAGCCAGTGTTTTACAAAGGTTTAGCATAACTCCATAACTTCTTTAACTCTATAAATCCTCAAACTCTAGATATCTTGTTAGTCAGCTCTGTTATCTTCACAGATTTGTATGCAAGCATCTCCAGGTCTCTCTGTTTTTCTACCCTCTTTAAAATTGCACTATTTGGTATTATCCCTATTCATTCTTCCTACAAATTGTACTCTCAGCATTGATTTTCATTTAATCTGTGTGTCTATTCCACTAATCTGTCTATCCTCTGGGTCTCATTACCATCTGACTGTTGACTGCAGTCCAAGTGTTTTATTGCCCGCACATTTCAAAACTGCATCTTGTACACCACACTGTCCTCAGTCCAAGCCCTGAACATAGTTACATTTCAAAATAGTGCCACAGTGTACTCAGGTCCTGAGATGGCAGGTTAGGATCCCAGTTTAATGGCTCTTCTGAAAAGCAACACCTCCAACAATGTAGCAATCTTGTAGCGCTACCACACACTGTCAGCCTAGATTTCATTCTCAAGTCCCCAGAGTTAGTTTGTGACCCCACAGCCTGGGTACTCAGAGGGTAGTATGGTCCCCGCAGGGTGAAGGCTGGTGAGGTGAGAAGGCATATATACACGCAATGGATCTAACACCAGTTGGACAGTCGGTTGAACATGTGATTTGTAATCTCAGGGTCATGGGTTCAAGCCCCACGCTGGGTATGCCCAGTTAAGGGCAGCACGGTGGCTCGGTGGTTAGCATTAATGCTCATGGCACCAGGGATCCAGGTTCATTTCCACCCTCAGGCAACTGTGTGGAGCTTATACGTTTTCTCCATGTCTATGTGAAAACCCTCTGGGTGCTCTAGTTTCTTTCCACAGTCCAAAGCTGTGCAGGTTAAGTGGATTGTCCATGGGAAAATAGCCCATAGTGTGCAGGGATGTGTAGGTTAGGTGCAAAAGCCATGGGAAATGCAGCGTTACAGGGATATGGTGGGATGGCCTTCAAAGGGTTGCTGTGGACATGATGGGCTGAGTGGCCTGCTTCCACACTGTGGGGATTCTATGATTAAGCAAGTGATGTAGTTGCCTGGGAATTGGTACAGTTATCTGGGTGAACATAGGAAGTTTTCTTTGCTGTCTGAAATCTGGTAAAATCCAGGTGCTGTGTAAAAGCCAACTAGTCAGAGAGCAGCTAAACTGACAATGATGTCCCCCAAACAAACATAATTTGCCCGACTCAGTCCCAAATATTGAGGTAAGTGTGGTGTATCACTCCTCCCAGTTGGCCAGCTTCGGCCCAGTGGCACAGAAAATTCCAAGCAGTTGTAATTTTTGGCTTTAGCCCTGAATGAAATGAAATTGTATTCGAGTGAGGTCAGTGCTGGATCACTCAGAATCCTGCATGGTCCCATCTTCAGTGTAACAGTGCCCATCTCGCTGGGGCAATACACTGAAAACAAGCCTCAGCAATCCCAGAGCCATCACTGATGTGAAAAGACTTAGCCTCCAATTTACCAGACTGACTAACACTCACCAGGTTTCCGTAGCTAACAAAAAGAAAATTGCTTATTATGAATAAATGTCTTTCACCAATCAGGAAATATGAATTGTGAACCTGTAACTCTACAATCTAAACCCTTCTTTTAAAATATTCTCCTCTTCACAAATAGACAGACTCACAAAGACAGGACATGGCAAAAGGAAAAATAAAGAATAGAGGACACAGTTCAACAACGTCAGTTTGGACCACAGTAGCTAATGGAATCATAAAATCCCTACAGTGTGGGAGAAGGCCATTTTAGGCCATCAAATCATACCAACCCTCCAAAAAGCATCCCACCCAGACTCACCTCATCCCTGTACTTCCCATGGCTAATTTACCCAGTCTGCATTTCCCTGGACACTATGTGCAATTTAGCATGGCCAAACCTGCACATCTTTAGACTGTGGGAGGAAACCCATACAGAATGTGCAAATTCCACACAGACAGTCACCCAAGGATGGAATCGAACCCAGGTCCCTGGTGCTATGAGACAGCAGTGCTAGCCACTGAGCCACTGAGCTGGTGCTTTTGGCTTCTTCAGATTCTTTTTAGTTCTTTGCTGTTTACACACTGATGCACTCTTTCATTCACTAGTTGAGAATTCATCCTTTCGCTGTCTTTTAAGGCCTTCAACAGGAGGTTTGCAGACAACAGTGAGTTCAAGACAGCTCGTTGTTTTTGGAGACTTTCTGGCTCAGTGAAAGTGTCTCTTCATGCAAACAATTTCAATAAATGAAAAGGAATGCTTGGGTGGGGCAGCTTACCTTTGGGAATTTGCTCTCCTCATCAATCAGTGAGATGATATTCATCGGTTTAACTGCAAGAACATCTAAAGTCCGCTGGTTGTCGATGAAATCAATGTGCTGCCAGTTGATGCTCTCCCGAATGTATTCCTCCTGTTCCTCTTTGAAGATGCACCTTACGAAGAACTGCTGCAAGTGCTCATTGGCGAAGTTAATGCACAGTTGCTCAAAGCTGAAAAGGAAGGTGCCATTACCGTCACCATCCTTATTGCTATCATCCACCAGCATCATTTATGGCAGCGCCCAAAGGAGGTGCCAGAGATCACAAAAACCATTGTAAAGAACCAGAAGGGTATCTTATTCCAGTTGGTACTGTGTTTAAAACCCTCCTTTTACCTATCTAACCCCAGGATGTCCAGCCTAACATAAAGGTGATGAACACCTTCTCTCTCTCTATAGATAATGGATGAAGCAGTTGCCTGGATGAATGCAGCTCCAACAACACGCAAGAAGCTCAACACCATCAAAAGCCAAGCCATTGGGCTGTCACCACCCTCCACATTCACTGTCTTCACTACTGATAAAGCAGATGCACTGCAGCCACTCGCTGAGGATTCTCTGACAACTACCTTCGCTATCGAGAAGTGCGCGAGCAGCAGACGCACGGGGACATCACTGCCTCAAGTTCCTTCAAAGTCACCCATCCACCTGAGCTGAAACTGTATTGTCGTTCCTTCACGGTCACTGGGTCGAAATCTTGTAACTCCCTCCCTAACAGCACAGTAGCTGTACCTAAACCACATGGACTACAGCGGTTCAAGGCAGCTCAGCACATCATACTCTAGGGCAATTATAAGACCGTGAGGAACAAGAGCAGATGTAGGCCATTCAGACCATTGAGACTGCCCCACCAGTCAATGAGATCACGGCTGATTTGACAATCATCAACTCCACTTTCCTGCCTTTTTACTCTAACCCTTGATTCTCTTACTAATTAAAAATCTGCCCGTCTCAGCCATAAATATACTAACCAACCAGCATCTACAGCCTCCTGTGGTAAAGGATTCCACAAATTCACTACCACCTAAGAAAACAAATTCCTTGTCTCTGGCCTAACTCAGCAACATCTTACGCCCTTTGGACATGGACTCTCCCTTCTGGGAAGGAAGCCTTCCTCATCTACCCTGTCTAGCCCTCTAAAAATCTTACATTTCAATAAAGTCACCTCTCATTTTTCTACATTTCAATGAGTACGGGCCCAAACAACTCAACTTCTTGTCATAAGATAGCCCCTCCATGTCTGCTATCAACCTTGTGAACCTTCTCTGGACTACCTCCAATTTCAGTCTTTCTTTCCTTAGATAAGGGACAAACACTGTCCACGGTGTTCTAGGTGAGGCCTAACTGGTGCTTGGTATAGTGTTAGCAAGACTTCATGTATTTATACTCCAGTCCCATTGAAATAGAGGCCAATGTTCCATTTGCCTTCCCTATTACTCACTGAACTTGGATGCTAGCACATTGTAATTCATGAGTCATTCCCAAATCCCTACATGTGGCCTTGAAAGTAACGCCTTTGTCCCATGAAAAATCCCATGAATCTATGTTTTAAATTGTATTTAATTCCACCAATTGCACTGGTGGAAGTTGAGCAGACGAATGTTATCCTGAGACTCTGATCACTAGCCTGCTGATATTATTGCTATCCCAGCCACCATTCCCCTGACCATTTGAATGAAGCAAATCTAAACAAATCCCTGCCTCATCAAATATTACAAAGACTCGGGATACCTGTTTGAATCAAAGTTCTCGAAACCAAAGATGTCCAACAATCCAATCGAACTGAAAACCTTTTCGGGATCTGTGGTTATGGATGTGTTGATGACGGTGTTAATCTTTTTGACGATCCACACAAAGAGGAGGTCGTATATTCCCTGGTTAAAGCAATCAGAGAGCTGCTGTGATATTGAACATTAAACGGAAGTTGCAAGATGTGGACTATATATTAAAGACGCCGGTCTCAGCAGGTACCAGTGACAACTCAACCCCACACTCCCCGACTCTGGTTAGGTACTGTTATTTATATGGGCAATAATCCTTTGTGGGTTTTTTTGAAGAAACTTCAGGTCAAGAATTTTTAGTTATTTTGGTGGAGTTTAATCCTCCAGCTGTAAAACATAAAATCAATTCATGTCCTTGGGAATAACAATGCTGCAGTTAAATACTGATCAAAGGTGCATTGAAGAGAAACAGAATAGTGTGATCTAAATGGGTCATCTAGAATATGCCAGCCATGATACTCATTGTAAATTTAATACCAATAGGAACTAGACAGATTCAGAGAGGCAGGAGGAAGTCATGATCCTAAAAGCCTATAGTAAAAATGTGAACATATCAAGGGCTGTTATAGGCTCATGAGGGCACCATCATCTTCTGGATTAAAAAAATAGAGCCTCCCCACCTTCCTGTCCCCACCAAAAACCAGGTGGTTCCCATTGCAAGTTTCTATTGGACGTGGGTAAAAATATTGTTGATGCCTTAATGATAATCTTTCAAAGTTCTCTCAATTGGGAACCATTCCTTTTATCTGGAAAATTGTGCACATACCAAAGAGTTATTTAGTTTTGAAGAAACAAAATATCCATCAACAGAAATATTCAGTGATAGAGAAAGAGACATTGAGTTTTGCATTGGCTCTACATGAGTTTGAAATCTATATCATAAATAAAACTGGAGATATTGTCATTTATATGGGTGAGAATTCTTTGTTTTTTTATGAAGAAACTTCAGGACAAAAAAATTATAGTTATTTTGGTGGAGTTTAATCTGTCAGCTGTACAATTTAAAATCATTCATGTGCTTGGAAATAGCAATGTTGTAGTTATATGTTGATCAAAGGTATGTTGAAGGGGCAACAGAATGTTGTAATGCAAAATGATCTATGTAAAATATGGTAGCCATTAAACTCATTGTGCCTTTAATACCAATATATTTTCACTATTAATCTAACATAGAAATTGTGCTAAAAAGGTATTTTTGTAGGAAATGAACATATATATTATGGATACATTTTCACACTTCTTTTGGGAGAGTTGTAATGAAAGATGTCTAACTTATCTATGCATTAATATCATTTTTAGAGTTTGGATTTTAAAATAGTAGCATATGGGTTGGTTATTCTGTGAAGGGTTTTTAAAAAATAACTAGGTCAGACATCCTTCTGAAACAGTGACCTAATCCAGTATGGACTAAAGATCAGGGATCCCTGGAGTGTTAGTGGAAAAGTATTTTTACTGAGGTGGTTTATGGCGTAGACATTCAAGGCCATTAGTTTGTGTTTTTTTTTGTTTTGAAATATTCCAGAATTGATTTTAGGAAACACAGAGATTTCATGTTTATTGGATAGTTCAAAGGAGATTTTACAAGGGTCAGAAGCAGGTATAATTTCTCTATAAAGAACAGAACAGTTCAGGGAAAGCATAGTCTCCTCAGCAGAAAGGGTTAGTTTGTACAATTTCAAAGCCAAGAGTGCTGTTTAGAAATCTGCAGATTATTAAAAGCTGAGAAAGTCTAAACTCTCAGTTTTGCGAATATTCATATAGGAGAAATCACTGGTCATGGGAAGGAACTGGGAAGAATCAGTTAAGTCTCATCTGAAGATTTGACGTAATGGGGAATTTCTCCATATGGGTAGTGTTAAGAAATGGGATTAGACTCTCTGCTGTGTGTTTTATGACCTTACAAACCATGTTCTATATTCAGATAGCTTGATGTGTTTCTTTTCTCTTTTGTGTAACAAGCTTCTGTTCTGTTTCTTAAAAAACTCTGCAGTCTAGTGTGAATATGTTACAGTGAGTGACCACTACATTAACTAAGTAAAAAGTGATCTATCAAGTCAGGTTTAATTCTGGGAGCTGTCTAGTACCATCTGTTGAGATCATAACAACATCATAAAGCTACGCTTAAAAAAAATGAGAGGGGGAAATCCGGGGAATTATAGAAAGTTAGTCTAATATTTATTACCAGGAAATTACTAGAAACCATAACTAAAGATAGAGTGATTGAATGCTTAGAAAACTTCCAGCTGAATGGAGAACTGACATGGATTTGTAAAAGCACAACGAATCTGATAGAATATTTTGAAATGGTGTTGTGGATAGAGATGTAGTATATCTGGACTTCCATATTTGATAAGATGCCACACAATGGGTTAATGTCCAAGGTAAGATCACAATGTGTTCGGGGTAAACAGAAAGCCGAGAGTCGGGATAAATAGGTCTTTTTCGGTTTGGCATGACATAGCTAGTGAGGTGCCACAGGTTTCAGTCCTCAGGATCCAACTACTGATAATCTATATTAATAACTTGGATGCTGGGATAGAAAGTAATGTCGCCAAATTGCAAATGATGCTAAAATGTGTGGGAAAATAAATTGCAATGAAGAAGTAAGAAATTTGTAAATGGATACGGGGTGAAATGGGACAAAGTTTGGCAGATGAAGTTTATTGTGAATAAGAGTGAGGTTATCTACTTTGGTTGCAGGAATGGAAAGGCAACTTATTATCTAAATGGGGAGAAACTTCAGACTGCTTTGGTGCAGAGGGATCTGGGTGTCCTTGTGCTTGAATCACCAAAATTGAGCTTCAGGTACAACAAATAATGAAGGCAAAGGGAGTTTGGCAATTATTGTGAAAGGAATAGAGTATGAAAGTAGGGAAGTGTTGCTGCAACTATACAAGGCATTAGTGAGACTGCACCTGGAGTATTGCATACAATTTTGGTCCCCTTACCTAAGGAAGGATGTAATTGCATTGGAGGGAGTTCAAAGAAGATTCACAAGATTAATTCCAGAGATTAGAAGCTTGTTTTATGAAGAGAGATTGAGCAGTTTAGACCTATACTCTCTGAACTTTAGAAGAATTAGAGGAGATCTAATCAAGGTATACAAGACGTTGAAAGGAGATTGACAAATTGACGTGGGAAGGACATTTCGTCATATGGGGCAATCTAGAATAGAGGTCAGTTTTAGAGTTAAGGGTAACAGATTTAAAACAGAGATGAGGAGATATTGCATCTCTCAAAGGGGACATGAAGCTGTGAAATTCTCTACCCTAAGATGCAGTGGATGCCAGGACATTGTGTAAAGTTAAGGAGGGAAATAGACAGATTTTTAATTAGTAATGGGTTGAAGGCTTATAGAAAGCAGGCAGGGAGGTAAAGTAGAGGCCAAGATGAGATCAGCCAGGTCCGTATTAAATGGCCCAGCAGGCTCAAGGGGCTGAATAGCCTGCTGTTGCTCCCAGTTCTATGTTCTTAAAGTAGCGGATGGGAGAAAGTCTATGATGGTTATTTGTATGTCCAGAAGGGAGGTGATAAACTCGCTATAACAGACTATTCATTGAAACATAAATGAAGTGTGGAAGAGTCTTGATGAGTTGGATGGTCTCCCTTGTTCCCAAGTGAGGAGAAAGAGCATCAGCCATTTGTATGGATGTAGTGCCCCGTATTCTCTAGAAGTCTGCATGCAGCTACATGTGGAAGGTGAAACTGTCATACACTCAGTAAGAAAAGGCACATGGTTGACTAGTGAATGTGGAATAGTAAAGCAGACAGGTAAAACTTGTGCCTTTATTGCCTCACCTTCACCAATGCGTCCCTACTAGCCGCTGCCTGGGTTTTGCTCACTGGAGCGGTCACATTCTCTCCTCTGATCATGATGGACCTGTGAGTCAATGCATTCTTCAGCTCTAGTGGGTTCACCTGCAGCATAGACAGAGAGAGAGAGAGAGACACCTCCAAAGGTGAGTGGAGCACAGTCACGACGCACAGTCAGAGCTCATCATTGACCCAGATCATAAGAAGCAGCCGAGAGTTCACTGGCCTCCTCAGATCATAGAATCATAGAATCCCTACAGTGTGGAAGCAGGCCATTCAGCCCATTGAGTCTGCATTGACCCTCTGAAGACCATCCCACCCAGACCCACTCCCCTATCCTATTCCTGTAACCGTGCATTTCCCATGCTTAACCCTCACGAGCCTGCAAATCCCTGGACACTATGGGCAATTTAGCACAGCCAATGCCCCTAACCTGCACATCTTTGGACTGTGGGAGGAAACTGGAGAAAACCCACGCAGACACAGGGAGAATGTGCAAACTCCACACAGACAGTCGCCCGAGGGTGGAATCGAACCTGGGTCCCTGGAGCTGTGAGGCAGCAGTGCTAACCACAGATGACCTCAGAGGATTTCTCAATTCCAGCAAGTCCCAGCATTAACAGGGCTTGTTGTTGGGACTTGGGGGGAACGGATATGTTATAATGTGTACATGTTACTGCTGCTACATCAATGACTGCTCGACTGGGAAAAGAAATGCTGCAGGCCACAATTTCCAGCGCTGTTTCAGAAATGCTTTGATAAGTCCCTCCATCGAGGAATTTCTGATCTGTTCGGGTCTCTGGGCAATTCCATCCCGGAGGGTGGGTGTCAAATACGGACCGGCCCGTGTCAAACAGCCAGGGTTACCGCTATAGATTTTACTAAATGGTGAATAATCTGAGAAGGTCAGTATTTCACTTGATGTGAAGTTTACACATGGCACTGTAAACATCCTGATTAACAGTCCGATGTTAATGCTGATTCGCGTGTATTCTCCTAACACAAACATACACACACACACACACACACAAATACGTGGATCTCCTAATACACACACACACAAACACATGGATCTCCAAATACACACACACAAACACACAAACATACAGGTCAGGATTAGACCATTCGGCCCCTCGAGCCTGCTTTGCCACCTGATAAGATCATGGTTGATCTAATTGTAACCACAAATCCGCACTCCTGCTCACTCTCCATAGCCCCGTATCCCTTACTTACCAAGATTCTATCTACCTCTATCATACAAATGTTAAAAAAATTTTGCTTCTACTGTCTTTTCAACAAAAGAACTAACAAAAGAACATTTCTCCTCATCTCTGTTTAAAATGGCCTATTTGTCAACTGTGAGCCCCTGATTGTAGATTCTCCCACATGAGGAAACATTATCTCCACTCCCACTGGGTCAAGACCTGGTTTCAGGTCTCTCTTGTTCTCCCACAGGGTACAAGCCTAGCCTGTCTAATCCTGCCTCACATGACAACTCAGCCATACAAGGTACCAACTGATACAGATGGATAGATGATAATAAAATCAATAACAATTATATCTGCTACATTGGTATTTGAAAATACAACCCAAGTCCTCAAGCTCTTCTTTCCTCGATTCCTTAGCACAACTAATTATTTTGATCAATGTGTTTCTTGATCACCCGAGGGGATGGAAGAGGAATTTACTGAGGTTTGTTTACCCCTTCTTGGACCTGGAGTTTTGTTTTTAATCTGTGTTTGACTTGATGGGGGGGTGAGGTGGGGCGAAGGAGGAGGTTGTGTGGAACAGTGTCTAAACGGTGTTAGATCGACCATTGTGGTGTCTCTGTCCTGCCCATCCATGTTTTAGGTTTGTAGGATCACAATGAGGACAGAGCACACGCAGTCCCTACATTTCAGTCCCTTGATTCTTTTTGAACAGACACATGGAAACATCCAAGAGTGGGGGCCAGGGAGGCAGGACACCTTTCCAAAGATCTGAGCTAGGGCCATTCCGTTTCTGTCTCCATTACCTTTCCACAATCACAGAGATACACTCCCCCCCATCGTAACAGGACGCTCACTCCTGAATGTGGAAGCTCTGTGGTAAAATGTGTGATATATTTAACGAGGAGGGTTTAATTTACCTCAAGTAACTTTGTGGCCATGGAGAGATGATTGGATTCCAAAAGCTCACAGCAGTCCAAGTTGTCATACACAGCAGCTGTAGAGGAACACTCAGGTCAATACAGAATAAGCAGCATTGATAAAATCTGAAAGAAATCTGAGTGGCATCATGAACGTGACCGTGTGCACATTCAACTGCACATAGTATACGAAATAAGGTAAATGAGATTGTGGCGCAGATCAAAGTTGGCAGGTATTGGTGGGCATCACAGAGACGTGGCTGCAAGGTAATCAGGGCTGGCAGCTAAATATCCAAGGACATGCATCCTATCGAAGGTGGGCAGAGTGGGTGGGGTTCCCTTATTGGTAAGAAATGAAATTAGATCAATAGCAAGAAACGACGTAGGGTCGGATGGGGTAGAATCTGTGTGGGTACCGTTGAGGCAAAGGTCAATAAAACCATAATGGGAATTACTACAGGCCTCCAACTCAGTAGGGCACAAGATACACCTGGAGATGGAAAAGGTGCGTAAGAAAGTGATTGTGGGGGATTTCAATATGCAGGTGGACTGGGAAAATCAGGTTGGTAGCGGATCGCAAGAAAAGGAATTTGTGGAATGTCTACGGGATGGCTTTTTGGAGCAGCTTGTGGTGGAGCCCACAAAGGAACAGGCAATTCTGGATTTAGTGTTGTGCAATGAGGCAGACTTGATAAGGGAGCTTAAGGTAAAGGAACCCTTAGGAGGCAGTGAACATAATATCATAGAATTTACTCTGCAATTTGAGAGGGAGAAGATGGAATGAGATGTAATGATATTACAGTTGAATAAAGGCAACTACAGAAGCATGAGGAAGGAGCTTGGCAGAATTGACTGGGAAAGCAGGAAAGACAGTGGAACAGCAATGGCAGGAGACTCTGGGAGTAATTCGGGAGACAGCAAAAATTCGTCTCTAGGAAAAAGAAGCATGGTACAGGGAGGATCAGAACACCATGGCTGACTAAGGAACTCAGGGATAACATAAAGGAAAAGAGAAAGTATATAATGTGGTGAAGGGCAGTGGGAAACCAGAGGACGGGGAAGCTTACAAAGACCAACAGAGGGCAACAAAAAAATATAAGAAGGGAGAAGATTAAATATGAGGGTAAGCTAGCCAGTAATATAAAAGAAGATTGGAAAAGTTTCTTTACATATATAAAGGGCAAAAGAGAGGCAAAAATGGATATTGGACCACTGGAAAATGACACTGGAGAATTAGTGATGGAAAACAAAGAAATGGTGGAGGAACTGAATAGGTACTTTGTGCCAGTCTTCATGGGGGAAGTTACAAGTAACATCCCAAAAATTAAAGAGAGTCAGGGGGCAGAGAGGAGTCTGGTGACCATCACCAAGGAGAAGGTTCTAGAAAAACTGAATGGCCTGAAAGTGGATAAATCACCTGGACCAGATGGACTACACCCCAGAGTTCTAAAGGAGAAGTTCTAAAGCTGAAGATATAGTGGAAGCGTTAGTGGTGATCTTTCAGGAATCGCTGGAGTCAGGGAGGCTCCCAGAGGACTGAAAAATTGTTAATGTGACACCCCTGTTTAAAAAGGGAGTAAGGAAAAAGATGGAAAATTACAGGCCGATTAGCCTAACCTCGGTCATTGGTAAGGTTATGGAGTCCATTGTGAAGGATGATATTTCTGAATATTTGGAAGTGTATGGTAAAATAGGGCAAAGTCAGCACGGCTTCATCAAGGGGAGGTCATGCCTGACACATTTGTTAGAATCCTTTGAGGAAGTAACAAGCAGGTTAGACCAAGGAGAGCCAATGGATGTTATCTACCTGGACTTCAAGAAGGCCTTTGATAAGGTGCCGCACAGGAGGCTGCTGAGTAAGATAAGGGCCCATGGTGTTAGAGGCAAGGTGTTAACATGGAAAGAAGATTGGTTGTCTAGTAGAAAGCAGAGAGTGGGGATAAAAATGTCTTTCTCAGGATGGCAGTCGGTGACAAGTCGTGTTATGCAAGGGTCAGCCTTGGGACCACAACTTTTCACTTTATACATTAATACAATAATGGAGTAGTGTCAGAAGATTGGAAGGTGGCAAATGTCATTCCCTTCTTCAAGAAAGGAAATAGGGATAATCCTGAAAATTACAGACCAGTCAGTCTTACTACTGTGGTGGGCAAATTATTGAAGAGGATTCTGAGAGATAGTATTTATGATTATTTGGAAAAGCTTAGTTTGATTAGAATTAGTCAGCATGGCTTTGTGAGGGGCAGGTCATGTCTCACAAGCCTTATTGAATTCTTTGAGGATGTGACAAAACACATTGATGAAGGTAGAGCAGTGGATGTGGTGTATATGGATTTTAGCAAGGCATTTGATAAGGTTCCATATGGTAGGCTCATTCAGAAAGTAAGGGGGCATGGGATTCAGGGAAATTTGGCTGTCTGGATATAAAACTGGCTGTTCAATAGAAGGCAGAGTGTGGTAGTAGATGGAAAGTATTCAGCCTGGAGCTCGGTGACCAGTGGTGTTCCACAGGGATCTGTTCTGGGACCTCTGCCCTTTGTGATCTTTATAAATGACTTGGATGAGGAAGTGGAAGGGTGGGTTAGTAAGTTTGCTGATGACACGAAGGTTGGTGGAGTTGTGGACAGTGTGGAGGGCTGTTATAGGTTACAATGGGACATTGACAGGATGCAGAGCTGGGCAAAGAAGTGGCAGATGGAATTCAACCCAGAAAAGTGTGAAGTGATTCATTTTGGAAGGTCGAATTTGAATGCAGAATACAGGGTTAATGGCAGGATTCTCGGCAATGTGGAGGAACAGAGGGATCTTGGGGTCCACGTCCATAGATCCCTCAAAGTTGCTACCCAAGTTGATAGGGTTGTAAAGAAGGCATATGGTGTGTTAGCTTTCATTGGCAGGGGAATTGAGTTTAAGAGCAGCGAGGTTACGCTGCAGCTCTATAAAACTCTATAAACCACACTTGGAATATTGTGTTCAGTTCTGGTCACCTCATTATAGGAAAGATGTGGAAGCTTTAGAGAGGGTGCGGAGGAGATCTACCAGGATGCTGCCTGGACTGGAGGGCAGGTCTTATGAGGAAAGGTTGAGGGAGTTAGGGTTTTTCTCATTGGAGCGAAGAAGAATGAGAGGTGACCTGATAGAGGTGTATAAGATGATGAGAGGCATAGATAGAGTGGATAGTCAGAGACTTTTTCTCAGGGCGGAAATGACTATAACGAGGGGGTATAATTTTAAGGTGATTGGAGGAAGGTATCGAGGAGATGTCAGAGGTAGGTTCTTTACGCAGAGAGTGGTGGGCGTGTGGAATGCGCTGCCAGCAGTGGTAGTGGAGTCAGATACTTTAGAGACTTTTTAAGTGGCTCTTGGATAGGCACATGGAGGATAGTAAAATGTAAGCTATGCAGGGTAGATTGATCTTAGTAGGATAATAGGTCGGCACAACATCGTGGGCCAAAGGGCCTGTACTATGCTGTCCTGTTCCATGTTCTATGTATGTTCTATTAATGATCCAGATGAAGGAACTGTGGGGATTCTGGCTAACTTTGCAGGCAATACAAAGATAGGTAGAGGTAAAGATAGTATTGATGCAGGGAGGATGCAGAAGGATTTAGGCAGGTTAGGAAAGTGGGCAAAGAAGTGGAAGATGCAATAAACGTGGGAAAGTGTGAGGTCATGCACATTGGCAAGAAGAATAGGAATATAGACTAATTCCTAAATGGGGAGAAAATTCAGAAATCTGAAATGCAAATGGTTTTGGGAGTCCTACACCAGGATTCTCTTAAGGTAAACTTGCAGGTTGACTCAGTAATTAGGAATGCAAATACAATGTTGGCATTTATTTCAAGAGAACTAGAATATAAAAGCCGGGGTGTACTTCTGAGGCTTTATAAAGTTCTGGTCAGATCACACTTGGAGTATTGTGTGCAATTTTGGGCGCCATATCTCAGGAAAGATGTACTGGCCCTGGAGCATGTTCAGAGGACGTTCACAAGAATGGTCCCAGGAATGAAAGGCATATTATATGACAAATGTTCGAGGACTCTGGGACTATACTCATTGGAGTTTAGAAGGATGAGGGGGGATCTAATTGAAACTTACAGAATACTGAATGGCCTGGACAGAGTGGATGTTGGGAAGATGCTTCCATTGGCAGGAGAGACTAGGACCCAAGGGGACAGCCTTAGAGTAAAGGGAAGACCTTTTTAGAACGGAGATAAGGAGAAACTTCTTCAGCCAGAGAGTGGTGAATCTATGGAATTCACTGCCACAGAAGGCTGTGGTGGCCAGGTCATTGAGTACATTTAAGACAGAGATAGATAGGTTCTTGATTGTCAAGGGGATCAAGGGTTATGGGGAGAAAGCAGGAGAATGGAGTTGAGAAACTAATCAGCCATGATTAAATGGCAGAGCAGACTCGATGGGCCGAAAGGCCTAATTTGTGCTCCTATGTCTTATGGTCTTATGGTGTGTCTGTGTGTCTCTGCAAGTATGTGTATGTTTGTGTCTGTGTATCTGTGTGTGTCTGCATCTGTGTCTATATGTATCTGTGTATGTGTGTTCATATTTGTGTGTCTGTATGTATCTGTTCTATATCTCTGTATATCTCTGTAGCTGTGTGTGTGTCTGTGTACATCTGTATGCCTGTGTGTATCTGTGTATGTGTCTCCATGTCTGTTTGTCTGTATATATCTGTCTCTATGTCTCTGTATCTGTGCATCTCTGTGTCTGTGTGTGTGTCTGTGTATATCTGTATGCCTGTGTGTATCTGTGTCTATGCATCTGTCTGTGTGTCTGGCACTTACAGATACATGTATGTGTGTCTGTGTGTGCAAATGTTTGCGAGTGCATATTTGTCTGTGTTTGTGTGGTTGCGTGTGTGTGTGTGTGTGTGTGTGTATGTGTGTGTGCGTGCATGCGTGCACGTGTGTGTGTGTGTGTGTGTGTGTGTGTGTGTATAATTATATCAGATTAAAAAAGTAAATGCCCTTAAAGTTGTCAGAAATTGCACGAAGCCTGAGAATTTGGAGGTGTTTAGAATAGAGCAAACGAAAACCAAGAAACTGATGAGGAAAGGGCGAGTGGAATGTGAATGCAATCTCGCAAATACAATAACATGGATTGTAAAATCTTCGATAGGCACATACAACGGAAACATTTAGCTAAAATAAATCTCAGTCCATTACAGAGTCAGAAGAATATATAATACGGAACAGAGCAATGGCAGAGAAACAAAATGATTACTTTGGGTCTGCATTCACTGAGGAAGTTCCAATAAATCTCCCAGATCTAACCCAGTGGTTGGGGAGAATGAGGAGCTAAAGGAAAGTAGCATCAGTAAAAACGCAGTAATGGAGAAAATAACCTGGCAGGTACAACAAAGCACGTTCTCAGGCTACAGTGCCTGCCTACTGTTGAAGCAACTTTTCCCTCCCAAGACTCTACAAAGAGGTTCATGAGATATAGTTTACTAAACTAGAAAGCCATTTCCAGGTGGCCGTAGTTATCTCTTATGGTTTCATGTATTTACTACTCTGAAAACATAAATATACTGCCAGCTGCTTTGTACAGTTTTGCTTTTACCTTGAAAATGCAGATTTCCCAAGTGCAAAATAGCAGCCAATAGCTTGTTGATATCCCACTGTTCACTGTCAGAGAATGTCAGGATTTTCATAGCTGAGCAAACATTGGCGTAGTGTCTGGCATCATCATGTCCATCAGTACTCGTACAGTTACCCTGTGGAAACAAAGTCACATGCAACTGAGCTGAGATGCCATTGTCCCAAAAACTGACCCATTTTAGAACGGGTTAGAGAATTCCTAATTCTTTGCAACCATCCTGACAAATGCCAGCCTACTCCTAGTATCATTGGACTCAATGAATTCCATTTGAAATGGTGTCTTGAAAGGTGTGTGATATAGATATGTGTAAATACCTTTTTTTAAGATTTGGATTTTAAACTAGTGACATATGGGCTTTGGTCTATTTTCATAAAGGGAATTAAAATTTAATTAGGTCAGTCTTTCCAGAATTATGATTTTAAATTCAGTGTGTGCTTCCTGTAGTAATGGAGGTTTGTTTATTTGATTTACTTTGATTTGATTTATTATGGTCACATGTACTTAGGTACAGTGAAAAGTTTTGTTTTGCGTGCAGTACAGGCAGATCATACCATACAAAGTGCATTAGGGTAATAGAACAGAGCGCAAATATAATGTTATGGCTGCAGAGAAGGTGCACAAACAGCGAGATCAACATTAAGTTTAAAATTTGAGAGATCTATTTGGAAGCCTGATAACATGGGGAAGAAGCTGTTCTTGAATCTGTTGGTACATGTGTTTAAGTTTTTGTATCTTCTGCCCAATGGAAGAGTTTGGAAGAGATTATAACAGGGTGGAAGGGGTCTTTGAAGATGTTGGCTGCCTTCCTGAGGCAGCGAGAAGTTTAGATAGAATCATTGGATGGATGGTTGGCTTGCATACTGGGGTTTATATTGTGGGGTTTACAATAGAAGAGAAAAGGCATTGAAACATTAGATTGCTTTTGGGTTTAGAACTATCAACGATTGATTTTAGCTTAGAAAAAACAAAGATTGGAAAGGTTTTGTGTTCAGTTCAAAGAGGATCTAACTGGAGTTAAATACAAGTGGAGTCACTCCATGACAAAAAGGATTGTTCAGAGTACTTAAGGAAATAAGCAATCCCTGTGCAAAAGTGCAGTTTGTTAAATTTATAGACCAAGAGTGTGTTGTTAGAAATTATTACAAGTCTGAGAAAGGTCTAAGATCTCAATTATGTGACTATTCCAGGGAAAACCCCTCACCACTCATAGGACCAGAACTTAGAAGAAACAGTAAACTCAAACCTACAAACTTGATAGGGAAGGAATTTCTTTGGATTTTCATTAACTGGAAGGTGATGGTGTTGGGGAGTAGATGGGATTTTGTTTGGCTGTGCTTTGAAATCCTTCAAGCTTTGTTATCTTTAGATAGCTTAGTTTAGTTTAACTTAATTTTATTTCTTTTGTCTAATAAACTTCCATTTAATGTTAAAACTAAATCTCCAGCCTGGCTTACTTCAGTGAACGACTGCCACAGTATAGTTAGAAATAAAAAACAACAAAGTATGATCTATCAAGCCAGATTTCATATTGGAATTTTACTTCTTTGGTAATATTATCAGTTGGGATCATAACAATTATGAAGACATAGATGTCTCAATTTATATTTAGAGGCCTCATGACCTTTATATTGTATATTGAACATGATAGAAGAACTGGCCAATCTTTGAAAGAATCCTAATTAGATGTGACGTATGTTGATGTGGAACGCGTACCATTTAAATAGCAGGAGGAATCCCATTGAAACAGATTGAGGAGAGCTGTTTAAGGAGAAGCTTAATTTTCGTGTGTTCCTTTCCTCCATATCAGCACGTTATCATCACCTTTTGTTATTCGGCCCATCACTCAAATTAGTCTATGAGCTCTGTCAAATTACAAAGTCAATTTGTCTACATAATTCCACTGACTGAAGGATTTGAGTTATAAAAAGAGGCTGGATAGGCTGGGATGTTTTTCACTGAAGCTGATGGGTGACCTTATAGATGTTTAGAGAATCATGAGGAGGATAGTTAATGTGAATAGCCAAGGGTAGGGGAGTGCAAAACTAGATGGCATAGGTTTAAAGTGAGAGGAGAATCATTTAAAAGGGACCTAAGGTGCAACTTTTTCACACAGAGGCTAGTGTACGTGTGGAACGAGCTTCCAGAGGTAGAGGCTGGTACAATGACAACATTTAAAAGACATTTGGACAGGGTACCTGGATAGGAAAGGATTAGAGGGATATGGGCCAAACATAGGCAAATGGGACTAGCTCAGTTTAGAATATCTGGTCAACATGAATGAGTTGGACCAATGCATCTGTTTCCATGCTGTACATCTCTATGATTGTCTAAGAGTTTTGTCCCTTTCAGAGTTTAAGGCATTATAAATACAGAGAGATAACAACGCAAGTTTCAAATCTTAAATGTCTGATATATCCTTACTAGAAACTGGAATCCTTACTGGAAGCTCTAGTTTCTGGTTCCCTGGACCTGCATGAAGCAGTGTCAATGTGTTTGTGTGATATGTTTCAGTGTAACGATAGATAGGAGCATTCTAACACAATATGTCTCACCATCGTCAGGTAGTCATACTCATGTGCTGTGCCTAAACTGAGGAGCTTCTTCTGCTTTGTGTTCATCCCCATCAGTATACTGTAGAAAATGTGATAGTTTCTCTCATCTGCAGCCTGAGGGACAGAGAACACCGATAGTACACAATTCAAACAAACAGCAAAGTAGGTGAGTGCCAATCTGCTGCTTTAACCATGAAGAGGATGATCCTCATTTATGTCACATTTCCTCATTGAGCACATGACCCAAAGCAATTCTGAGACTACTCCACTGTAGAGTATGGGAGCCCAGTATACCAACCTGTCCACAAAAATAACAGTCAATGTACGGCTCAACTCAACAATGCACATCCCCACAGTTACTCTTTGGCCTAATCAACTACTCCTGGCCGCAGTCCTAAGCAACATTGCCCACCACCCCCCAACATCCCCACACCCCCAATCACCCCAGTCACCACTGCAGCCCCCTTTCTGCAGCAATGGCTCTCTCCCTGAGTGCAGCTTCTTTTTCGGGGGTTGCTGGGTTACCCTGCAGCCACCAACCCACACCCCATCCCACCAACCTCCTGGTAAACTGCCCAGATTGTTGACAGCCCTATTTAAAGGCTCCAATTGGCATGTTTAGTATGCAAATAAGACCCTGGCCCAGCCTCTGTCCATCCCAACATGGCTACCTACAACTCTACTGGTCCCAACATCCATTTCCCCGAGTTGGCCCAGCAAAGTTTTGTACATTATGCCTTTATATCTGGTAATGTCTACATGCAACTGATGCCTCCTCAATGTATTTCCTTAATTATTCTTATATGGGATGTGGCCCAGGCAGACCTTTGTTGACCATCCCTAGGGGGCCTTTAAATGAAAGGCCTCTGAGCCATTTCAGAGGGCAGTTAAAAGTCAACCACATGACTGTGGGTCTAGAGTCACATGTAGGCCAAATCGGGTAAGAATCACAGATTTCCTTCCCTAAAGGAATGAGTGAACCAGATGGGTTTTCATAATAACTGACAGTGGTCCCTTGGCTGCCATTAAACTAACTTTTTTATTCCTGATATCTTTAAATAGAATTCAAATTCCACCACCTTGCCACGCTGGGATTCAAACCCACATCCTAATGTCTTTAACAATGACTTCATAACGAGAATGGTAGCTCTAATCTCCTGCCTGTGTGTCCAGTTAATAACAGGGTCTGGGCCTGTGGTTTGGCAGTATCACTAACCCCACTGACAGACAGGGCATCAGGTGCAAGGGGAGTCCAGCAGTGACTCTATGACCATCTTACACACAACACCGAAACATGTTCACTGGGCAATTCAGGCTCAGTTTATTGAAGGCTCGCTTCAATAGAAATGACAAAGCAGTGTAGCAAACATGAGGCCATTCAGCCCATCATGCTTGCAGGTCTTCAAAAGTCCAAAACCCCCAACCCTCCAAAACTCTCCTTACCTCCATCACCCTGGAAATGACTGTCCATCAGATGTTTACACCTCGTGCCATGGGGTCCAGACTGGGTGCTTTGATAGACATTGTCATGATGGGCTAACAATGCTAAAGGAGAAACTGGCCTTGACACCTAATCGCAGTGGACACTCAGAGAACATTCCCAAACCAATGATTGGACAGCGAGTATCTCAGAAAGAGTCTAATCCTGGCCATTGGCTCAGTTGTAATTGTGCTCTCAGTGTGGAAGTCAGTGTTAAATAGGATCTGCCCTTGACCAACCACAGTGCACTCACCATTCGGCAAACACGGGACTTCTCCAACAAATACTGCTCAATCTTTGCTCCCTCAATGATTCCATCATCGTTGAAGTAGATTTCAATATATTTTCCAAAGCGGCTGGAATTGTCATTTTTTACAGTTTTTGCGTTTCCAAAAGCTGTGAAAGGAATAGCATAAAGGCAGCTTGAGGCAAACAGGTACATCAATAACATCTGGTCAGCATCCTCCCAGATTGACCATCAGTCAACACCAAAACAACACAAATGTGCCATTCATGGAGATGTGTCCTGGAGCCACCCACTATGCGGAACTTTCTCCCTGGAACTGTCCCCATGTGAAACCGTCCCCCTGGAACCGTCCCCCTGGAATCGTCCCCCCTGTGGAACTGTCCCCATGTTGAACTGTCCCCCAATGGAACTGTCCCCCATGTCAAACTGTCCCCCTATGGAGCTGTTCCCCTATGGAGCTGTGCCCCATGTCGAACTGTCTCCCTATAGAGCTGTGCCCCAATGGAGCTGTGCCCATGTCGAACTGTCCCCCTATGGAGCTGTTCACCTATGGAGCTGTGTCCCATGTTGAACTGTCCCCCTATGGAGCTGTGCCCCATGTCGAACTGTCCCCCTATGGAGCTGTGCTCCATGTCGAACCGTCTTCCATGTGGAGGTGTCCTTCACCCACTCCCAAAATGGATCTGTTCTCTCCCACTTGTTAAAGCTGCTTTATGGGGACTGGGAAGCAGACTGAGGGGCAGAAGGAGAATTTAAAACATAGACGTGATACTCACCTGTCAGTTCCTAAAAGTATGAAATGCAGTAGCGCTAGGTTTCTGGTTACCGATGAGGTAAGTATACGTTGAGCTACAAGGGGATGGGATGGGTAAAAGGCATTGAAGCATTTCATCAATCAGGATCATCATGTGAAGATGAAGGAGCCTGATGAGGGTGCAGTTCACAGAAAACGTGTGATTTTAAACAAACCTGTTGGGCTATAACCTGGTGTCGTGTCACTTCTGACTTTGAAACCACACAACATAAGAGACTTCACTTGATAATTACACAGGGACCAGGAGCTTAGGCACAGTCTGGTATCCCTTTCACCGCTGAGCTCTCGATTGATGCTTCCTGCTCTAAGTGTTACCTTCCAGAATTGGGGTCGCCTCCAGAATCTGCTGCTCGATCCACAAGTGCTGCCCACTGACTGCAGCCAGAAAATGCAGGATTAGCTTCACACTCTCGGTCTTCCCAGCTCCCGACTCCCCGCTGAAATCACAAACATTCCTCTTCATTGTCCTGCTTCATCAGCTACTGCACCTCACACCCCCAACCTCCCTTCACCACACACACTCCCACCCCCTCCAGCAATTTACAACATGTACCAGCCCCAAAATCATTCAGCACGATGGGGCTCTTGGTTAACCCAGTGAGCTCTTAACCATAGACCACCTCTGGAAACTCCTCTTCAACCAGGCAGTCCTAATTGTTCCCTTCAAGTGGCTGAATGAGGCCTGTAGTAATTGCATACTTGTCATATTGTTAAGATATGGAGCTCAAAGACATTGTTTAATTAACGACCTGGGAGCATATATAAAAAAAAGCCTGCTGGTTCACAGGAGGGAGTAGGTAGAAAGCAGACACATGCCTTTTCTGTTTACCATAAATTTGATTTGATCTGATTTAATTTGATTCGGTTTATTATTGTCACATGTACCTAGGTACAGCGAAAAGTTTTGTTTTGTGCGCAGTACAGGCAGATCATACCATACAAAGTGCATTAGGGTAACAGAACGGAGTGAGGACTACAACGTTATGGCTGCAGAGAAGGTGCAGTAAGAGCGAGGTCAACATTAAATTTAAAAATTTAAACATCAACCTATTATTGAGGATAATATGTGTCTCTGGTCCGATCCTTCATCAACTGGCTTAGATTCAAATCAAGAATCATTTCCCCACTTTTGGCCCCCTCCCTACAGAGTGTGGATCCTCTCCCAAATGAAATAGTTTAAATCTGCATCATAGGTTAGTCATTAACCAGGTTTCTTGTAGGATTAAACTTGCTTCTAATCAACAAGTTATCCTTTTGAGGTCTGGTGGACGTCTCTTTTATTCTGGTTGCAGCACAAAGGATAAACAGATTGACCATTTTGGTGATAAAACAAAATATTTAGGCTTCGGTACAGCTCATGGAGAAGCGGGGTTTGATAATTAGCACACTCCTCCCATTACAGTTGTAACGAAGTGCATTACCTATCGTTCTACAGTCTGACAAAATCCCCATGTAAACTGAAATTACATGGATTTTGGGCTGTAACATGAGACTGACAGAATGTGCTTTAGCAGCTCTCACTGCTTCTTTCTATTAGTTTCAACTCTTTGATCAATTTCATTTTAAGAGTTTAATATTTCGTGACAGATCAGGATGTGTGTGCAATCTGAATCCCTATGCTATTCTATCAAACCCTCCGACCCTCTCCTCATTAGTCCACATTTCCGGCCCGGTGGCTCAGTGGTTAGCATTGCTGCCTCGCAGCGCCAGGGACCCGGGTTCAATTCCACCCTTGGGCAACTGTTTGTGTGGAGTTTGCACATTCTCCCAACATCTGTGTGGGTTTCCTCCGGTTTCCTGCCACAGCCCAAAGATGTGCAGGCTGGGTGGATTGGCCATGCTAAATTGCTTGTAGTGTTCAAGGATGTGTAGATTAGGGGGGATGGGTCTGGGTGAGATACCCTGAGGATCAATATGGTCTTGTTGGGCTGAAGGGCCTGTTTCCACACTCTAGGGATCCTATGATTTACCATGGCTAACCCACCTAGCCTACACATCCATAGACACTAGGGAGGCAATGGCCAAATGGTATTATCGCTGGACTGTTAACCCAGAGACCCAGATAACATTCTGGGGATCCAGGTTTGAATCCTGCCTTGGCAGATGGTGGAATTTGAATTGAATAAAATATCTGAAATTAAGAATCTAATGATGACTATGAATCCATTGTTGATTGTTGGGGGAAAAACCCATCTGGTTCACTAATGTCCTTTAGGGAAGGAAACTGCCATCCTTACCTGGTCAGGCCTACATGTGACTTCAGACTCTGTGGTTGACTCTTGACTGCCCTCTGGGCAATTAGGGTTGGGCAATAAATGCTGCCTAGCCAGCGACACCCTCATCCTTTTAGTGAATTTTAAAAAACCTATGGGCAATTTAGCACGGCCAATCCACCTAACCTGCACATCGTTAGACTGCGGGAAGGAAACCCACACAGACACTGGGAGAATGTGCAAACTCCACACAGACGGTCGCCCGAGGGTGGAACTGAATGTGTGTCCCTGGCGCTGTGAGGTACCAATGCTAACCACTGAGCTATCATGCCGCCCAATACTGACACTGTGACTGATCTACCTCTTTACCTCTGGAATGTCTCCCCATCTGCAATTTGTCACTCTACCAAATAACAGCCCCAATTGGTCAGCAGGTGTCAGTTTCTGCAAGGCAAGGCATGATCCCTCCATTCCTTGTGCCCTCCACGGCAATGGGTTATGGTAGTCACTGAGACCCGCTCTATACCACTCACCTGATAATGCAGCATTGGTTCTTTTTACTCTTCCTCAGGTTGAAGTAGCAGTTGTCAGCAATGGCGAAGATATGAGGGGGCAGTTCTCCTATGCGCCTGTTGGTGTAGAGATTGATCTGCTCGATGGTGTAGTACGGGAGCAGCTGGTAGGGGTTCAGGGCGACCAGGATGGAGCCGCTGTAGGTCTGATAGAGGGAGAAGGTCTGAGGTCTCAGAATGGGACACTTTCCCAGGGATGTTGCCTGCTTCTGCAAGCCCCAACCCCACCCTCCCCACACCCCTCGCAATCCGGCTCCCAACAACAACTCAGCCACTTGGAAACAACACGTGGGAAGACAGGGATTGATCAGTGAAACTCAGGATGAATTTGTTACAGGGAGATCCTGTCTGACTAATTTAATTGAAATTTTTGAAAAGGTGAATAAATATATTGATGAAGGTAGTGCAGTTGATATAATTTATATCGACTTCACTAAGGCCTTTGACAAGGTCTCACATGGAAGGCTGGCCCAGTAGTAAGAGCCCACGGCATCCAAGGCAATTAGCAAACTAGATTCAAAATTTACTTGCAAGTAGGAGGTAAAGGGTGATGGTGAAGGGTTGTTTTTATGCTTGGAAACCTGTGACCAACAGTGCACCACAGGGATCAGTGCTGGACTTTCCTATTTATTATGCTCATCAATGGCTTGGATGTGAATGTAGGAGGTATAATTAGTATGTCTGCAGATGGCATGAAAATTGATGGTGTTGTTGACAGTGAGGAGGATGGTCTCGGGCAGTGCAATGGCGGATGGAATTTAATCCTGATAATTGTGAGGTGATGCATTTTGGGAGTTCTAATAAGGGAAGGATTTACACAATGAATGGTACGCCCCTGGCGAGTACGGAGGAACAAGGGGACCTTGGTGTACAGGTCCACAAATCACTGAAGGTGTCAGCACAGGTAGATAAGGTGGTGAAGAAGGCATGGGGGGATGCTTACCTTCACTAGCCGGGACATAGCATATAGCAGCAAAGAAGTCTTGTTACAACTTTATAAAACATTGGTTAGGCCACAGATGGAATACTGTGCACTTCTGGTTGCCACACTATCTGAAGGATGTGACTGCACTGGAGAAGGTGCAGAAGAGATTCATCAGGATGTTACCTGCATGGAAAATCTTGGTTATAAGGAGAGACTGGATTGGATGGGCAGTTCTGAGGAAGGGTCACCGGACCCGAAACGTTAACTCTGATTTTTTCTTCACAGATGCTGCCAGACCTGCTGAGCTTTTCCAGCAACTTCCGTTTTTGTTTTCCTGGATAGGCTAGGGTTTGTTTTCCTTGGAACAGAGAGGCTGAGTGGGGGGAATATCTGATTGAGGTGAACAAAATTATGTGAAGCATAAATAGGGTAGATCGTTAGAAACTTTTCCCCATGGCAGATGTGTCTAAGATCAGAGGGAATAAGTTTAAGGTGAGGAGTAGGTGGTTCAGAGGGAATCGGGATAAACTCTTTTCACCCAGAGGGTGGTGGAAGTATGGAATATACTGCTTGAGAGGGTGGTGAAGGCAGGTACTCGCACATCATTTAAGAAGTGGATGAGCACTGAAATGCAGAACGTGGAGGTAAATGGGATTAGTGCAGTTTGGTGTTTGTTAGTCAGCATAGGCATGATGGGCCGAACAGCCTGATTCAATGCCGTATGACTTCATAATTAACGTCACCGACTCAACAACAAGGGGCTGGATTTATACGTTGGTGCATCAGCATAAAATGGAGCTCCTGTGGTGCATTGGGGTAATATCCCTACCTCTGAGCCAGGTGCTCCAGCTTCGAACCCCCTCCAGGACGTGTTGGCCATGGAAGGAGTGCGTACAATGCAGGATGGTCATCAGCCTGCAGGTCCGTCTGCTACTTCCCCCACTCTCCCGAAAGGGAAAACAATTCACAGGAAAATTACACAAAGAAGGAGAAGAACTGCAAATTCAGCAGATCAGTGGGCCATGACTAGCCCTTGTTTGTAACAAGATCCACCACTGAGAGGAACCTACTAAAGACAGGATCCACTCATTGACAAGATCCACCACTGACAAGATCCACCACTTCAGGAACCTATTCACTGGCACAATCTATTCATTAACAAGATCCACCACTGACAGGAACCTATCCACTATAGATCTACTCATTGACAGCTTCCACCATTGATAAGGTCCACCATTGACAGAAACATACCCATTGATAGGATCCACCATGACAGGATGCACCATTGAAAACATATTCATAGAGAGGATCCACCATTGATAGGATCCACTGATTGACAGGATCCATCATTGACAAAAACCTACCCATTGATGAGAACCCACTATTGACTGGATCTACCATCAATGGGATCACCGATTGCCAGGATCTACCTGCTGTAGGATTCAGCCAGGATGCGAAGGGCCTATGATGGAAACTGATTCTGAACACCTATAAAACCCAATGGGATTGAGGGCTGGGGGTTGTTGTTGGAATGTGTGACTGATCCCCATTTCCAGGTTTACACATGGCTGTCACATTGAAAATGTAAACCAGCATCGCCAGCGAATCTGTTACCTGTCACTGAACCAAAAGCTTCCTCCACCCCCTCACTCGCCGCTGTCCCTGCTTTGGACCATCGCCCACTGAAGGCTTCATTCCCCACAACAACCCCAAAACAATCATCCTAATAGATACCTGACCCATTCCCTACCCTCCAGAAACATCAGCAACATGAAAACTCAGCTGTCCAGATCCTATCCCAAACACACACACACACACTCACACACACACACACTCACACACACACACACTCATACAAACACACACCCTCACACACACACACACACACACTCATACA